GGCTTTGTTTTTCCTGAACGTTCCCCTGCCCAGGTAGAAAACCCCCCCCCCCCCCCCCCTCCTCCCCAACAACCCCACAAAAGAAAAAAACAGAAAGTGATGAAATGAACAAACTTTAAGTGGAGCTGTGTAAGAGAGTGCGGTTTGCCACGAATGGGCTTTCTGTGTTTCCTCCTTTGTCTGAATGCAGCGTGCAAACATTGAAAAGTTGAAAACCACGTCCAGTACAAAGGCTGTGTTCGTCAAAAGAATGGCCTCCGTAACAAAATCGACAATTAGGAAGCTCCATTGCAAATAGACAAAAGGCAGAATGCGCACAGCACCTCGTACCACCCTCCATCAAGTATTTCCCAAAAGCTACAGGAGACAGAAGCTAACACATAATCATGCAGATATCCCTTTGGGCCTTTAGGCTTCGTCTCATCACAAAAATGTTCCCCCTCAACCCACACATCTTGGGAGGTGCTGATAGGGTTGAGCAGTAAAGCTACGAAAAATGCCCAACGACAGGATCGGAAACCTACAAAAACACTGCTCGAAAAAGGTGGACTTCTCTCTCTACCATTGGCATGTTATACCCACATTGGGTAAGCGAGGATGCGTCGCGAATACAGCGCAACGTCCTAGGCAAAACAAGCGTGCATCAGAATGACTGTCGTCAGGAGGAGAGCTACATTACCTATCTCTTGGAGACACTGCCGATGCCATCCTTCAGCAACGTGCTCTACAGCGACAACACATTCAAATTACCACTTAGGAACATGCACTGCTTAATTAGTGCAGGTTTGTACTTGGTGGAGTCCAGGTTCCTGACATAAACAAGCACGCCATTGAATTGCATCCTGCGGGATTTTATCATTCTGTTTTCCCCGAGAAGACCATGCTGCCAATCTCGAAGCTGCTTCAGTGCGTCCGCTCGACAGACAGCTACCAGAATCGAGTCCCCACCAAATCTGGATCAACAGGAGGAACACACAACACACATACACGCATCAGGAACAAAACAAAAACAGGCACAACAGCTGGGCATACAATGTGCTCTTCAAGAGGACAGGTAGGAGGAAGCAAAGACAGAGACGCTGGTTGAAAGCGGAGAATGTATGGCTGCAGGAAGGGCGGTGGATAACCTCGGCAATCAGCCAACTTCTAGATCTGAAGGCAAGAGAGAGAACAGAAGTGGGGCCTGCTCCAGTCTCGTAGTGCTTTCTGTCCCATCTAGACTGGGTTTCAAGCTGTTCCACTTGATTTCCCTCTAAACCGCCCGAGTTTCACATGGTTTCCTCTCTGACTCTTCCTTCGTTTTCTTCGGCATCTTGTTCTTGCTTCCCCCTTTCCATTGCTTCCTGTCGATTCATTTCTTATATGTTAGACAGATGGATGCCTTATTACCCCCACCCCCACCCCCCCTCCTCTGGCATGCTTCCCCAATATTCCCTTATAGTCACCAGTTCGACAGTGTTTGGGCTTCCCCCAATTTCACAACCCTCTTGTGCGGAAAATGCTGCACAAATGCAAAAATGAAAGGGACACGCAGGGTCGTATGCATGGCACATCTTGAAGTTGTACTCCATCAATCAGGCTTTGGACAATCATTCCCACAAACCATCACTGAATTGCAAGGACTGAACAGCCAGTGCCCGAAGGCACATCACCTTATCCTTTTATATATATATATAGTCAAACAGAGGTGCCCGGTAAACCGTAGGCAGAGAGGGAGAAGAGGACAACGAGGGGCTTTGGCGAACTGTTTCGTCGGAGTTTCACGGACTCATCAGGAGGCTGAACCCTCAAAAACACTCTGCACAATCCCGTACCTAACTGATTACACTAGTAAGTGATAATCCACCTTAACCCCGGCTGTGGTTAAGCATCAACGACTGCCCGACAACTGATACCCTGAGTTGGGCACCAACCACTGCCCTCAAGGTACCTGTGGCAAAAGTCAAAGCAGCCCATCATCACTCACCCACACCAGATGCAAAACTCTACAGACTGTCGGTTCACACCCCATCACAAGCAACAAGCAAGCAAAACACCCACGAAAAAAAAAAGGTCTGTCACAGCCAAAAAATACACTCCAGATATATCGGGTCTTGCATGACACTCCCACAGGACACCCACCCACGCGCTCAGTGTTGGGGAAAACGTCCGAGGGACGAGGCGAGCCCAAGGAAAAGTGCCATCGACAACGTGCCCATTCTCTCTTTTTATTGTCGTTTCGGGGCTGAGCCCCGCATGGCCGCGCATCGCTTCATTCTTTTTCTTTTAGCCCCTCTCACACGACCCGCACAAAAAAAGTAAATACGTTTCGTTTTTTTTTTTCCTTTTTGGCAATGCGGGCGAACCGAACTTCCCAAAGGGTTTGGTCATTCTCTCTTTTTTATTGTCGTTTCGGGGCTGCGCTCATTTCGGGCTGAGTCCCACATGGTTGAGCCCCACAATGCGGGCAGACCGAACTTTCCCAAAGGGTTGGTCATTCTCTCTTTTTTACTGTCGTTTCCGGGCTGAGCCCCACATCCACAACATGCCCATTCTCTCTTTTTTATTGTCGTTTCGGGGCTGAGCCCCATATGGCTGAGCCCCACAATGCAGGCGGACCGAACTTTCCCAAAGGGTTTGGCATTCTCTCTTTTTTATTGTCGTTTCCTGGCTGAGCCCCACATCGACAACGTGCCCATTCTCTCTTTTTTATTGTCGTTTCGGGGCTGAGCCCCACATGGCCGCTGTCTCTTCATTGTATTTTTTTGTGTCCCTCTCACACAACCTGCACAAAAAAGGTTGATACGTTTTGTTTTGTGTTTTTCCTTTTTGGCAACGCGGGCGGACCGAGCTTTCCCAAGGGTTTGGTCGGCGGGTCCAACTGGCCACATCGCAGGGAGGGAGAGCTGGCAGCGCCTGGTGGTAGAGGTCGGGCGGGTAAAATTCATACCATTTTGCGCAGCAGATTCATTCCATTTTGCAGGGGAGGAGAGGGGGCAGGAGGGACAGGATGACAAGCAGGGGGGGGGGAAGGAGGAGGAATAGGAAGACGGCACACAAGTCCCACTAGGTGGGGAGGGGAGGGATGGCGAGTGGGAGGACGGGGAGGATGACGAGCAGGAAGACAAAAAAAATATGCCCGTGTATCTCCCCATGTTCCGGCAGAAGATTCATTCCACTTTGCACGGGGGAGCAGGTCTCTGCCGCGAGCAGAGCCGAGGCGGGCATTGCCTTGTTTTATTAACCGACCAGTGCTGCGGAACCTATGTTGCCAAACCAATAAACTATACTGATCCAGTGCTTCCCGCCCTGAAACGTCGGCCCCGAAATGCTGATCAAGGGAAAAAACCTGAGTACGGATCCGGGCCGCCCGGCCGACCGGCGCCCGCCCGGCCGAGGTCCCGGGCGGGCGGCCCGGTTGGGGACCGGGCACCCCCAGCACACCTTGTTGGCGGGGGGTTTCCGACCCCACATCAAGTGGTTTCGGCCTCCCCAGGGCCTACCGGGTCCAACCACGCCGAGAAAACGGCGCATCGGGCCTGTGAGGCCTGTTTCTTTTTTTTGAATTTGGGACGGCCCTCTGGCCATCGATCATCCATGATCGACGGCCAGAGGGCCGTTCGTTTTTGGAGGGAAACGGAGGCCCCATTTGAACTAGCACGCTGGGGCGGCCTGCATTGGCTGTCCAAACGGGACCTCGATAGCTGCTCCAGCCGTCTGCGTTCGCGCTGCTGCCCCTCGGTGAAGTAGCTGCCCTCGTCGCCATCGCCTGGGAGCTTCACTCGCCCGTCGTCGTCGTGTCGCCCGTCGCCAGCGTCGTCGATCGTGGTGCTCCTGCCTGCCAACATCCCCTGCCGCCTGTCGACATGGAGTGCCGGTCTTCTTCTTCTTCTATGCTTCTTCTTCTTCTTCCTCCTCCTCTTATACTTCGTCTGCTTTTCTTCTTCCACCACTTCTTCACTCCTCCTCCCCCTCTCATCTTATTCTTCTTCTTCTTCATCTCTCGTCGTCGTCCCACGCCTCGTCTTCTTCTTCTTATTCTTCTCTCCTCCTCCTCTTCCGACTATCTTCTTTTTCTTTTTTTTTTTACATTCGTTAGCGATAGGTCGCGAGATAAACGACAGGTAAGAAAAAAAGAAAAAAAAACTGCTCCGCTCGTCATCATCTTCTTCTTCTTCTTCTTCTTCTACTACTACTACTACTCTCCTGCTCCTTCTCCGATCATTATTCCGCCTCTTGTCTCCTCCTCCTCCTCCCCCTCTCATCATCATCTTCTTCTTCTTCTTTTTCTTCTTATAGTTCTGCTTTTCTTCTTCTTCGAGTTCTTCACTGCTGCCCCTCCCCCTATCTTCTTCTTCTTTATATTCTTCTCTCCTCCTCCTCCCCCTCATCTTTTTCTTCTTCTTCTCCTACTACTCTTCCCTCCGCCGTACCCCACCGCCATACCCCGCCATCATACCCCCACGTCGCCGCGATACCCTAACGCCAGCATAGTTCTTCTTCTTCTTCTTCTTCTTCTTCTTCTTCTTCTTCTTCTTCTTCTCTCCTCCTCCGCCTCCCACTCATCTTTATCTTCTTTCTCTTCTCTCCTCCTCCTCCTCTTCCGCTCATCTTATTCTTCTTCTTCATCTCTCGTCGTCGTCCTCACCCTCATCTTCTTCTTCTTATTCTTCTCTCCTCCTCCTCCTCTTCCGACGATCTTCTTTTTCTTCTTTTTTTTTAAATTCGTTAGCAATAGGTCGC